TGTGTGTGTGTATGAAAATGTTATTTTAAATTGTAATAATAAGTATTACTGTTTTTACTTTATGTTTGATCAAATAAATTCAGCCTGGGTAAGATACTTTTTTCAAAACATTTAAAAAATCTTACCGACCCCAAACTTTTAAATGTTAATGTGTGTTTAAGTTGCAACAGAGCTGATTTGTGTGATTCTAGAAATACCACTGTGAAAATCATCACAAAAAGCCATTTCAAACAAACAACTCTAGATGAATGCCCATGAATACATGAGACGAGTTAGCATCCACAAGCAAACTCGTCTCATCTCTCTCAAATAAAAGCATTTTCAGCATTTTATCTCATTTGGGTGTGATTTATGCATACAGTGTTTTGCTTTGCTCCTGTCTCCTTCCCTCACACTTCCATAAGACCTTAACATTTTGCATTGGATGACTCACTCTACATTGAATGATTTCTCATCATTGCCTTTTTGATGATCCTCTTTAAAGAACTCGTGCGCAAACGCATATAGGTGCTACTCCATAATTAGATGAAATGTGTTAAGTTATGTGTTACTGTATGTGTTAAGTTACACACTCTATGCTGTCTGAAACATGCAGCTGAACCAGTACTTTATTGGCTGATGACACTGACGTCAGTCACATAGTACACATGAGTACTACATTAATATAAAGGCAACTACTGTAGATAATTCCATGTATAAAAGACCCATTTATACCAATAGGCAAGCTTGACATTGTAAAGGCATACCATTTAAATAATGTTGGAAATACTTTGTTTTTCTCTTATGTTCAACAAGGCTGCATATATCTGACCAAAATACAGCAAACAGTAATACTGTAAAACTTTTGATCATTTAATATGTCCTTTAATAAAAATATTAATTTCTTAAAAAGAAAAAAAAAATCTTACTGATCCCAAACTAGAAATTAGACAAATCTGAAAAGACACATTTTCAATTAATTTCACTAGTGCTTTTCAGTTTTTCACTTTTCAGCTGAAGGCAACAATGATGTTGAGAATCTCCATAGAAAGTTACAAAACAAGTACAAAATTTTAATGAAATGAAGTATGCTGTAAGAAAGGAGAGCTAATAAATGCAATAGATAGATAGATAGATAGATAGATAGATAGATAGATAGAGACACACAAAACTGTATGCACTGCACTATATTTTTTCACGATATTTGCCTTAGTGCTTTTAATAGAATAATCAGGATTAATTTAGGTTTTTTTTTCACTGAAAATTTCCACCTCGTACGACCTCTTAGGTCCCCAAACCTCAGCTTGAAAACCCCTGGTCTAAAGCACACAGTGGCATTATGCATTATTGTCTTTCCAATCCATTTCCAAAATATTCAACCTATATTTACTGCCTATTCTGTAATCAAAGGGTAAAAATATGCCATCAAATGGTTGAAGTGCATGCATTAATTTCTATTTTAGTAAAAGGGTTTGACTGAACTACAATGGTACATCAGTAGATAATCATGCACATATCTCTGAATGATAATGGCACGGATGTGCTGCAGCTTTCTGTTATTTTGAGAAGTAAAGAAGATTTGTATCTTGCAGCTTCTTTTTATTACAGCCATTGTGTCAGGCAAGTATTTCGAGATCCCAAATTCTTTCAGAATTCTGTGCGGGAAAGGGTCAACTTGTGGGTCAATGACAAGTCTTCTTCCCTCAAGAAGTGTCTTGTAGCATCAGTCTTATCTGATGGCAACAGACATTGGGTGTGGTGGGCCAACAGAGACAAACCTTCACCATTTCTGTGGCTGAAAAGGGGATTTGGAAAGCCATCCTGCCTGCTGTCCACTTCACTGGATTTTCTGGCAGGAGGGCAGGTGGTGATGTGTCTGTTGCCCCATAAACTGTTCCTGTCAGCTCAACATGAACAGAGAATATAATCCAAACAGAGCTAGAACAAAGTGTTCTATGGTTTATTTCTAAACCACTATGGGATTTGTTCAGAACCAGTTTGAGTTTAACCTTTCATCCAGCTTAACATACAAGGGACGCTCCACAGAAAAGGATAACATTTCCAGAACGAAAGCTCTAAACCTCCATTCCTCTTCTCTAACAGCCCATGACCTTGAAGATCTCCAATCTTCTGATCCACAGTCAGTTTAACTCAATAACGTCAAAGACAATACGCAGAGAAACGGATCCCAGACCGGCGCTCAATTTCCCAGCAGAAACGCGCGTCATTCAAGCTTGACAGATTTTGTCCGCAGCTATGGGAATAAGCCATTAATCACACTAGGGTCGCACGGAGCCCACAGAAAATACTTCTGCCGTTGACATTTCAGCATTAAGAGTGTTGTATCCAGACATGTCCTTGCAAACTCTCAGATTCGGTCACATGCTCTTGGGAATCACTTTTCCTTTGTCAAGGGGATACTATTGTCTCGGAAAGCCTTCAGGTGATGTGGTAATATCACATGTGACTCTCTAAAAATGCTCGGTATAAATGTGTAACCTGCATAAAACATACCGTATGTGCACAAACTTATGCGTGGGCTTATTTGTGCTCACATGCCGGCGTGAATAAGGAGTCACCTTGACGCTGTCTGTATTTTGAGACGTATTGGGCCCCACCAGGCCGGCCCAGAGCACAACTGCCTGTCAAAATTCAATGCAAATGATCACAATAATATTCTCAGTGCTCTGATTAGGGGAGACCTGTCAGGCAGCAAACAGGAAACCCAGCAGCTCAAGGGCATGAAGACGCTGCCCAGCAGAGACCACCTGCTCACCTGACACCAGCTCTACAGACACAATCCAATTCAAGCCTGGATATACCTGCTGTACAGACAGGAGATCTCTCACCTCTCTCCTTCATGCTCTCATCATGGTGAATTTGTGTGTTTTCCTCTGCAACTGCCCTTGAGTTCAAACTCAGAATGCTCTTTCTATTTCTGTTTATCTCGCTACTCACTTGTTTCTTACAGGACTCTGAGGAGCTTTCCAATTCAGTTTGTGTCTGTTCTTGACATTTGTCTTAAGTCAATGGTAGTAATCGACTGGGAGGCATTGTGTGTGTGAGTTTGCGAGGACTGGGTGATAATATCGGATTTCTAAATAATCCCGACAATGATTGTTAAGATTCTAAGAACTTTTCTTTAATGGCAGCATTAAAAAAATAACTTGAGATGTGAATGAGTTTGCAGTCTGTTTTTAACGTGATGCAATAAAAAGATAGTGTACCAAAAAATAATAAGGAACGCCTTACTATTGTATGGTCCCTTGCAGACTGCATGCAAAAACATTCACATTACCAGTGTAGTCCGATTTATGAACAAATGAGCTGGTTCTTTTTAGCGATCAAAAAAGATAAATTGTGACAAATATAGTCAGAATCATACTGACTATAGAAATCATTCAAATCAGCCGGTACTTTTTAATGAGCATTTTTTGTTTTAATCAAATCTGAATAAAATTGAGAGCTTGTGAATACCCAGCCTTAGTGTTTGTTTTTGTGTGGTGATTTGCAGAGGACATGTGATAGAGCTATGTTTTGTTTGCAGCTAAGAAGTGACTAAAGAGTGAATTAAGTGCTATGATTATTCTGTCTATGCCACCAAGCACTGAAGTGGACCAATTATCTGAATGAATAAGCACTTATTATTGTTGACAAAGATTTAATCATGCTAACTGATTTGCATACCGGGTCTTTCAAAGTTAGTGTGATTTAAATAAGGCATACTAATTACACAATATTGAAGATATTGATCCATGGTCTGTAAATATGTAAATATGTGTATGTACCTGCAGTTCCGGTGTAATCAGCGATGGTGAGGGGGTAACCGTCATCCTCAGGATCAACAGAGAACAGTCCAACTCCAAACACACCATACTGTGCGAAAGCTGTGCTGTTCTCGAAATCTTCAAGATCTATGCGCAGTTCGTAGTTTCCTTGGATAGAGAGAGCATGGATTTGTTTCAACCCTGATGAGAGAAACAAAGAAAGGGAATTAATTTCAAGATTATTTTTAGTCATAGGAAATATAATTGGATTATGAGTGTAAAGTATGAATTAGGGCTGTGAATATTTTAATATTTTAACCCAAATAAATGTAGAGTCAATATAAAGTTTTTTTTTTTTTAGATATTTGTTTAATAGCACTTTTTAAGTACTATTAAGTATTACCAGGTCTATACTGCCAATACAAATACCTTTGTTAAATGGATTTAAAAAATATATATATATTTTGAGTATAAAATTACTAATTCCAACCATTTAAGAATATAAGAGTTTTGTTCCAACCCTGCTCCAACACACATACCATGTAGTTTTCAAATAAGCCTGAAGAACTTGATTGGTTGGATCAGGTGTGTTTAATTAGGGTTGAATCTAAACTCTGCAGGGCTCTGGCTCTCCAGGAATTGAGTTTGACACCCCTGGCATAAACCAATTAAAAATAAAAGTCTTTTTAGCATTGCCTTTATTTGTGAAAATTAACTCAATGTTTCAATGTTAACTTATTACTCTTTTTGGTCTCCTATTCGAACGAGAGATGTCTGTTCATTTTGTTTCACTTCAGATCTTTTCAATGCATTGATTCGTTAAATATGTAATAAAGATACTAGTCAAAACATTTAGTATCCATATTTAGGGGATAAGCACAGAAGGTGCTTGGGCACCTATTGTATCTGTTAGTTTTCTTCTTCTGCTCTGGAAGTCTATGGCAGCCCATAGAACTGCTTGCGGGAAAGTTATGAAATTTGGAACACACAGATAGAGGACAGTCTCAATATTAACCATAGCAAATTTGGAGTCTCTATCTCAAACTCTCTAGCGCCATCAATAGGCCAAATTTGCACACTTATGCTAATAATATTTGAACCGTAATATCTAAAAGCAAAACAATTTTTTCCTCTGATTTCTTCACTCATGCAGTCGAATGCATATCAAAATTTACATTTCTACAGGGCAAGATTTTTCACAATCTTGAATTTTCTTAAAAATCTACTTTTTGGAACTCGTCCTAGATGGTTTGTCCAATATTCATCAAAATTCAGATCATCTTTAGAGCATTCTGGTAAAAAGTTTTCAAAAGCTTTTTGATATACCAAACCGTTTTCGTAAAGCGTGTTAACGAATTTAACGAAGTTTGTGCAAAAATGGACATGAAGCTATATCTCCGCAACACAATTATATTGATCCACTGTCCTCTCTACACACGTTAGCAATATAAGTATTGATTCATCTATCCACACTTACACCTGTGTGGCTTAATCTTGGAGATGAATTTTCATCAACCAAGTAGCCAAACTCAGTATGCAACAGGCAAATAGCATGAGCATAAAATGCAACAGGAAATGGTGAAAAAACAAACTATGATCATAGCCTCCGTGAGCAGAAAAACTGAGTCTGCATTAATTATGTTAATTATTTGTAATGTGTTAAACAGCCAATATGAATCGCGAAAATAAACACATTATTTTTCCTATCTCTGGTATGAATGTGTGGTTCATTTTCACTTTCTGTGGCCTGCATATAAAATAATGCAATAAAACACTGAAATGCTCAAACATCTATTATTATGCAGAGCAAATGCATACTTTAAAAATTCATACATGGCTACTATGCATTAAAGCTGCATGGAAAACAACCAGGTTTTAGGGGAGATTCACTGTTTTCATATTTTGTTGTTTTTGTTCACATTTCCAGCACCAGACCCATAAACACCGGATAGAAAAAATCTTGCAGAACCATCCTCAGATATAAACTCTGAGTTGAATTATCAAAATTAATTTGATGTGTAGGGTGCAGTGTAACTACAAACATATGAGTATCCGCACAAGGAAATTGATAAAGAAAAGCAGAATTAATGAAAAAATTAGGAGGGAAACAGCAACAATCCATTAATGCATACAAAACTGAGTCTCTTTACGGCTTCATTCAAAATATAAATAAAATAATATATTTTTGAAAAGAGGAAAAGAAACCTGCTACTTTCACAAGTAATTTACATAACTTTTATTCAGGCTTAATTAAAACCCATGAGATTTTCCCTGAGGCTCGTTTGAAATAATTAAACATTGGGAGTATTTTACGCCCTTCTTGCTTTTCTACCAAAGAAGGGGCCAAACAGGCAAGTCTGTGCGCATGAAACTCAGGTGTGCCAGAATTTTCAATTAAACATTATTGTGAAGACATTTCACTAAGCTGCATTTTGTCTTGAATTATCATACTGATTGCTCAATTAACAAGAAAGAGTGAATGTGAGTCAAGGTGTGCTGCTAGATGGCTTTTATAGGTGAATGTTTCTTCTTTGATTATTACAAACTAAAGCCGAATTTATGATGAAAGTCACATATATATATATATATATATATATATAGGAATCTTAGACTGCTGTCATTTAAGAGCTGCCTGGATCCAATATACTGTTACACGTGTTTTCTTTCTCAGCTGTTTGCTTTCACTTAAGACCTAACTTACTGTGTTTAGTGGGACACTTGCAAAGACAGGCATTTTGACACATACAAGTGTGTGTATGTAATCGTTCAAAGCCTAAAGCGGCAAAAATAACTCAGTTCAATAATTCTATATTCTCTAATGAGTTCTCTTTCACTGCTGATTGTGTTTCAACAGCTTAAAATCACTTGTTTTTAAACTGCTATGCTTATAAACATGTGAAAAGGATAAGTTTTCATGACCACGTAGCACAGCAACGTCATGTGAGTGTGTAAGCACGATAGAAACGATAGTCCAAAATCTCTACCAGTTGACAAATTTCTGCCAGTTAATTGTATATCGCCCACACAACAATTACATTAGACTAACCCTAATTCAAACTCTAACCTTAAAACACGTTTTTGCATTTTCTGAATCTAAAAAGATTTATCTGACCTCTGAGGACACATTAGCCCCCAACCCACAGCTAAGCCAACCCCCACGCACGCATATTTTGAAAGGGAGAGAGAAAGTGCACATGATAGATCATATATGTATACTCTCACTCTTCTACAGCACACATTCTATGCCTTCTGCCAGATGCCCTGCTATTGTTATGGGCAGTCAACACCCATGAAGCCTGGGCAGTTCCTATTTGCCAGTAAACATAAATAGACACTGATATATTGAGTCAGAAAGCGGATTGTGTGTTGAGCACAAATTTAAGCGAGCAGCACAATAAAAAGCCTACGGGCATCGGCAGTCACACTGCACACCTGTGATAAATACCACTCTAAAAATGACATATTCCTGCAATTATGCAGGGAAAAATTGGGTCAGAACAATCCATAAAATTTCAAAGCTCCTCTAGGTTTCTATACACACACAAACCCACTCTCAACGAATACAGATATCATTCTAAAACAGGAAACATAAAACATTTATTCTAGATGTGCATAATAAACACATGTTAAATTGTTAGTCATTTAAATAATAGTGCTATATTCCATCTTCTGCCAGCTAGACAGACAAAATACAACATCTTGATTCTGATTAATGTGTTAATGTCTTCAATTTGCAGCTAATTTGAGTGATACAATTGTCTGGCTCATTAACAATTCATACAGACTGTGCACAGCTATACTTCTCTTTTTGCCATGGTAAAAGGTTCAAATATTAATGATTAATTTGCTTAGATTTGAAAAGTATGTTGGGAGGGAAATGCATTGAGTGGTTATAAATATCCCTCAAGCCATTTTTCCACATTCACATGGTTTTACTCCAGGAAACAGACACAGCACTTGAATCATTACACTCTATCTTTTTTCTCTTTCTGTCCTCTTTCAGTGACATTTCTGCAAGTTAAAATATTCATAATGCTTTTTCTCTCTATGTGACTTTACGCAAAAGAAAAGGAAAGAAAGAAGAGGGGAAGGGGAAAGAAAACTCACAGGAAGCAACGTGAAGTGTGTGTTTGGTGAAGAAGAATGGACAGGAGGCATGAATAGTGCGATGGAGAGATGGAGGGCAGCGGAGAGGGCGGAAAGTGGAGGGGTGTCTTTGAACACCTGTCTTTTCTCTCTCTTTCCCATCAAGGCGAGAGACGAATGGAAAGGATCTCCCACAGACTTCAAAGGGAGAAGCTCAGGGGGGGAAAACGCAATTTGTGTGAGCTCACACACACACACACACACACACACACACACACACACACACACACACACACACACACACACACACACACACTCA